TGAGAAGCCCGCGCCACAACGAAGAGTAGCGCCTGCTCGTGGCAACTAGAGAAAAGCCCTCGCACAGTAATGACCCAATGCAGCCAAAAGTAAATAAAATAAATAAATAAATTTATAAAGAAAAAAGTATCTGTGTGGATTAAAATGCAATCTACTGTTTAAAAAGTATCTCTGAGTCTATAATGAGAGAGAAAGGGGAGGTGGAGGTTGATTGCTTGCTTATGGAGAAGAGGGTTTAAAAAAAAAGTAAGCTCTTTTTTACAAATGAATGCCAGCTCATAAATGTACAAGGAAAAACAGGTTTAGCAAATCACCATTTTGCAGTTCCCAGTGTGATAACTGACTCAGGAAAGGATCATCAATGTATGATAAAACCATTAAGAGAAAGGCTTTGGGGGAACAGAATGTTCATATGGTCTCAAAATATCATACTTACCATATCAAATTACTTATTTAGAACGGAGGGGAAAGTTATATTTTTACCATGGGGAAATCTAGTGGGCATTATCATAAAGGAAGTGATCAAATGGAGCGTCATCAATAATGGGACAGTGTGACCCTATGTGCCTCCTAATGGATTTAGTGGGAACTGTAACAACACCTAAGGAATATTCTTGCCAAAAATGTTTAACTTGAATTTAATCATGAAGAAACAATCAGACAAATCCAGACTGTGGGACAGTCTTTAAACTATCTGGACTGGACTCTTCAAAAATTTCTAGGTCATGGAAAAATAGGAAAAGACAGGGGAAATACACTAAATTGAAAGTGATGACCAAATGCAATAGATCAGAGAAATTTAATGGTAAAAACTGTTAAATTTAAATTGTTAAATTCATTGTATGATAATACATGAGGTTTTTAAAAACGATCTTGAAAATTGGAGGACTAGGTTCAGTAAGTGCTTAATCAGTTCCCCATTTCTTTAAAATAGTGTTGATAATATTTGTTATGCTTCCCCATAAGATTTCATGAGAACAAAATGAGATAATGTTTGTGAAAATACTACCCATATGGTTATCATCCAATAACCAACTTTTATATTTGTGTGGTATTTTCAAGGTAAAATGTCCTAATCTAATCTACTGATAGTTAACACTATGCTAAAAATCTGGTGGACAGTATATCCCATAATACGTTAAAGTACTATTTAGTCCTGCCAAAGGAGAGGTCTCTCTGGCTTCTGTCTTTCTGCTTCTCAGTCTCTGTCTGTCTGTCTGTCTCTGTGGAGACAGAGCTCCTGCAAACAAGAGCAGGCCCACCTGTAAGCAGGGCTTACAGAAGCCTGACAGATGTTTCCTGGGTTGTTCCTCCACATACTCAACACACTGATGCCTCTGCAGATTGTCCCTTGGTGCCACCTACGAGGGACAAGCACTTCAGGACACTCCATCTGAAATTCCCAGTCTTCCTTGGTTTGGCAGAACCCAATTTGTTCATCATCAGAACATAACAATGTTCAGCTTTTTAAAATGAAAAATTAATTTTAACATGTATCAGTCACTGCTGCCACTTTGTTTATTTGCCATTCTTTATTCTTAGGCCCTGCAGGCATTTTTTTTCACCTGGGAATACTTAGAAAATCAGATAGAAATATTTAACTGATATTTACCTTTCAGTCTCTAACCAAGGAACATTTCAGAAGTGTGATTTTGGTTGCTACAGATCCATGGCAGCATACTACATTGATAAATGTTTTGTCGTGCTACGCATAGATAACAGAGAATAAAATGTATGACAGTAATAAATATCAAGGCATGCATATTCACAGCTTCTTTCCTCTCACCTGCTAAGGAATATTTTGGTGTTGTCCATGTAACCTTTTTCCCTTCCTTTAAGTCTGGCCTTAATTAGGTAGAGCAGAATGAAGAGTGTACTCTGTGTGTGTGTGTGTGTGTGTGTGTGTGTGTTGGAGTGTGTAGAGAAGCATGTTGGGAGAGCAGAAAGGAAATGCCTAAGAAAGGAAAGATTGGTAAAATTTACATTGAAAAGAAAGCAAATGACTGAGGAAAGATAGATTAGATCCCAGGGAAGAAATGGGATAAAGCATGAGAGTATTTAAGTTTCTTGGAGAATATTAGCAGAGATTTTAAGGAACAGCTGCTTATGGGGGAGAGACGTTGAAATGACAGATAGGAAAAAGCTACTTTATAAGTTTTGCTCTACATTAAGGACGTATCTGCTCACCACACACACCACACACACCCAGTTTTCTGAAGTAAAGATTTTAATTGCTTTTCATTATTTTTCGGGACTGTTTTCTCTGAATTTTACATTATGCTAAGACTGGGCCACAAAGGGCTTGACTTAATTCAGACTACCGAAATAGTCAGGAACACCAGGATACATTTTCTATTCTGACATTTTCTATAGACATAAGCTAGTGACCCCTAATTTTAAGATTATTAAGAAGGTTGTTTTTTACTCCCCCTGCCAGTTTTACTGAGAAATAATTGACATACAACACTGTGTAAATTTAAGGCACACAGCATGATAGCTTGATTTACATATATTGTGTGAAATGATTACCACGATGGCTCAGCTAACATCATCTCATATAGATACAATAGACAGAAGAGGAAGAAGAAAAGGAAAAAGAAACATTCTGTGATACAAACTTTTAGGACCCTCTTAACATTTGTACCTCTTGACTACCTTTCCGCAATTCCCCCTCCCCCATTCTCTGCCTTTGGTAACCACAAGTCTGATCTCTTTTTTATGCATTTAGTTTTTGTTTTTTGCTTTTCTAGGTTTCACATATGAGATCATACAGTATTTATCTTTTCTCTGTCTGATTTACTTCACTTAACGTAATGCCTTAAAGGTCCTAGGAAGGTTTTTTTAAAATCAAATAGGGAAAATGTTAAGGGACGATGCATTTTTTTAAAAAGATGCACATTTGCGGTTTTAATAATCTCGTGAAATTTAGGAAAAACTCTACTATGAAGCATTTAACATTGCCACTCCCCTGAGATCTTCCTGAAATCAGAAACTCTTTTTGCCACAGTCTTTCAGCATGTTTCTTATATCTGTTACTGCACTTAATTCATTCTGCCTAGCTTGTTTTTCAAAGAAATTTCTTACTATAAAAGCAGTATATGTTGGCCTAAATTTATTCTTTTCCCCCCAGCTTTATTGAAGTATAATTAACAAATAAAATTGTAATATATTTTCTATTATGTATATAATAATATATTAAAGTACACAGCGTGATGATTTGATATATACACTGTGAAAGTATTCCCACAATCAAGTTAATTAACACATTCTCCATCACCTCACATAGTTACTGGGTTTTTTTTTGGTGGTGATAGAACGTTTAAGGTTTACTCTCTTGGCAAATTTCAAGTATATAATACAATATTATTAACTATAGTCACCATGATGTACATTAGATTCTCAGAACTTATTCATCGTATAATTGAAAGTTTGTACCCTATTACCAACCTCCCCCATCACACCACCACTACCACCACCCCCTTGGCAACCACCAATCTACTTTCAGTTTCTATGAGTTTGGCTTTTTTAGATTCCACATATAAGTAAGATCATACAGTACTTGTCTTTCTCTGTCTGACTTGTTTCACTTAGCATAATGCCAAACTTCAGGTTCATCCATGTTATCACAGATGTCAGGATTTCTTTCTTTTCGTGGCTGAATAATATTCCACTGTGTATATATACCACATTTTCTCTATCCATTCATTCATCAGTGGACACTTATGTTGTTTACATGTCTTGGCTATTGTAAATAATGTTGTAATGAACATGGGAGTGCAGATATCTCTTCAAGGTAGTGATTTCATTTCCTTTGGAGCTACACCTATAAGTGGGATTGCAGGACCATATGGTAGTTCTATTTTTAATTTAGCCTGGATTTATTTTTTTTTAATTTTTTAAAATTTATTTTTATTGAAGTATAGCTGTTTTACAATGTTGTGTTAGTTTCAGGTGTACAGCAAAGTGATTCAGTTATACATACATATATTTTTTTTTGTTTTTTTGACTTTTTTTTAATACAGCAGGTTCTTATTAATATCTATTTTATTCATATTAGTGTATATATGTCAATCCCAATCTCCCAATTCATCTCACCACCACCACCCCATATCTTCTTGGTTTTAGATTCTTTTCCCTTTTAGGTTATTACAAAATATTGAGTATAGTTCCCTGTGCTATACAGTAGGTCCCTGTTGGTTATCTGTTTTATATATAATAGTGTATGTATGTTAATCCCAAACTCCTAATTTATCCCTCCCCTGCCCCCTTTCCCTTTTGGTAACCGTGTGTTTTCTATGTCTGTGGGTCTATTTCTGTTTTGTGTATAAGTTCACTTGTATCATTTTTTTTCTTTTAGATTCCACATATAAGTGATATCATATGATATTTGACTCTGTCTGACTTACTTCACTTAGTATGATCACCTCCAGGTCCATCCACGTTGCTGCAAATGGCATTATTTTATTCTTTTTTATGGCTGAGTAACATTTAGCTTGAATTTATTCTTAATTGCGCTCATTGAAGACAGAGGCCATACCTTATTTATAAAACAATATCATGGCAATTAACAGCACAGGCCTTGAAGTCAGACACCTGAGTTTGAATCTTAGCTCTGCTACTCCTCACTTAAAATACCAAATAGTTTTCTGCGGTTGTTACTGTTGTTTAACTTTGTTTAGTCTCAGTACTCTCATCTATAAAATTGAGATAATTATAGCTATTTCTCTCAGGGAAGTTGTGAACATTAAATGAAAAGATGTATGAAAGCGTTTAAAAGAATTCCTGGCACACACGGTATTCAACCAATGGTAACTATAATTAACTATATGCCTACTTTATTATTTGAATCCCTACCATGTAGCACAGAAGGATTTGTTGCTGAACAACAAATCATGGCTAAGGTGAGAGAAGAAAACCACGGAAGAATCCAGGGGCTGGCAACCTTGCTTTACTATACCTTTATTTTTCTCTGTGACCTTAATATTTGGAGTCCCAGGGTGTGTAGTGGGGTTTTGGGGCCTGCTTCTAGCCCGGATGAGCCTTATTGGACGTGGGCTAGGAGGAAAGAGTGTCTTCTGTTAGTACCAGGGCCTCCCTGGGTGTTCTGAGCCTCTCGGGAATTGCAATTCAATCTCCAGTTCCTTCTCCCCTCCTTGCCTCACCCCACAGTGTCTCTGGAGAGTCTCCTGGTGATGGGAACTTCCACTGACTAACCTGCATCTTCAGTGGGGTCCCCAGGAGTTGGGGACTCTCTTAAACACCACTCCTGCACGAAGCACTTCTTATTTCTCCAGGTCAGAAAGAGTTTCTCCTGTTATAGCACTTGGTACTTATTCCCCTGTTCTAGCTACTGGCTTTGTGTTGTTTCCCCTGTGAATTGCTAGGTGTCTGAGAGCAAAGTCTGGCTCTGGTTCCTGTTTGATCAGTACAGTGAGCTGTACGTATGTTCCCAAGTAATAACTGTTATATTGAATTTTACTGAAGCCGGTCTTGGGATTGCAGCATCCAGCTAAGCGATAAGCCCAGACCTTGCCCTAAAGTCTAAGCTGCTACCCTGACCCCAGAGCTTTAAGATACAAACTTCTCCCTATAGGAGAACACAGCCTCTGGGCAATTAACAGCCTAGAGTTCATTATTTGACTCATTGTAAGAAGTTCCTAGCAATAGATTTCAAAAAGCTAGCAGGAAAGCAGAAAAAAACAAAAACAAAAACCCTTTATTTAGGTGATAGGGATTTACAAAATATTAACATCAAACATTTTCCTCTTCATAATTTAAAGTTCGATTTTTTACACCACCCAGCTATTACACAGGAGCATGGTGGAAATTCAATACCTGTAACAGCTGGAAACAGTCTGAAAGAATTCTGACTCTATTAGCAGAAGAATTCTGACTCTATTACTTAAACTTTTTCCAGTAATATAAAAATAATAAGGCAAGAATTTATTTGGTCTCAAATATGATTATTCTGAATCATCCAACATGCACGAAATTGTAAAATTTTCATTCTCAATTATCATTACTACATAGTTTGCTAAAGTGCCTGGCCCCAGATAATATTTTCTAGATATTATTCTGAGTTGTTTAATGGAATTTAGGTGAAATAACATTTCAGGAAAAGTTTACCAACTCAGCAACTTGCTTTTCTCACTTGGCCTGGAGAAAAAATTACCCTTTCAACTTCATCAGCATCTCTTTCCCCACTTGGACCTCAGTTTTGCTTGAAGAATGCTAATATGTCTCCTCTTGATTTCATGTGGCTTTTCACAAATCCAGTTAACTTCCGGAACCCCTCCATCAGCCCGTCCCCGGTGACAGCACAGCAGGGCTGCACGTACCAGTTCCGGTCACTGCAGAGTTGCTTCACTTTGAACATTCTGGTGATGTCCTTGGCACTCAGAGCACCAGGCACGTCTTGTTTGTTGGCTAACAGGATAACAGGCACATTTTTAATGTGCTCATTCTTCAAAATCTGCTCAAATTCTCGCCTGGAGTCTTCCAGTCGCTGTGTATCTGTACTGTCTACAACATATACCAAGCCATCGGTGTTCTCACAGTAGAGGCCCCACACAGTTCTCATTTTTTCCTGTCCTCCAACATCCCAGACCGTAAGTGGAACACCCTTTTCCAACTCAATCATCTCCACGTTGAAACCTACTGTTGGGCTGGTCACAATATCCTTAGCAAGCTTTAATTTGTAAAGGAGAGTAGACTTCCCAGCAGCGTCAAGTCCCAGAAGAAGAATTTGGGCTTGCTTGGCTTTGGGGTTTTTAGAATTCAATAGACCCATTTTAGGCTTTTTTTTTTTTTCTTTGAAGACCTTTTCTTTTCGCTGGAGCCAGTGTTTCCTCTCCAGGTCTTGCATGAAAATGTTAAGAGGAAAGAAGAGAGCAAATGCTTCATGTTATAGTCTAAGAATAGGAACTTGCGTGCATTTATGTTGTAGCTTATCAACTTGATTATGGGCAAACAGTGTTTCATTTGCAGTCCCAACCAATCCTGAGGTATCTGTGATGTGAGTAACCAGCCAGTGTCATAGAAGCTCAAAGGGGAAATTCTTTGTGAGTGAGTAGGACTTAGGAGGGGCCTGCCTGTGTGACACTGCAGCTTGTTCTCTTCCAGATGTTGGAAGTCTAGGGTAATCAAAGGTTTAGATATGCAGGGGAACATGGTTTGGTAGCGGGATAAAAACTTAACTTTACAAGTGGTTTGTAGAAATTCTCTAGTTATTTGACTATTTATCTTATCCCAGTTGTAAATAAGTAACCAGACTTCTGAAGCCATGAAGAGAGAGTTTACCTCACACTGCCCTGAGCAGTATCTTTAGTACTTTCCAGATTACTCAGTAGGAAACTTTAAACCATCCAAAGTTATCTGAACCTTACTTCCATAATCATATAGAGAATCACTTCTTTAATCTTCTAGATAGAAAGTTTACACTATTCACAAGACCAAATTTACAGGAGGGGGAAGTTTGTAACACAAACACTTCTAAAAGTAAGCAGTCTGATTAAAGGTGGCGAATGAATATATTTATCTCCTCTCCTCAAGACTCCACCAAAATGATGGTAAAGGAATAAAAAGAACATATAAACTCATATCTAGAGCAGGAGAGTCCATCAGAGGGTGAGAGATTTCAACAAAATTCTGGAACGTGGAATATAGATAGAAGATGAATGGTAACTAATGCAGCAGGATAAAGCTGAGGCTTGGAGTACTGATACACAGGATACAGAGGGAAGAGGCAAAATGAGCAACTAAAAACAGAGTTAACTGAAAGTCTGAATAAGGAACAGAAAACACACACACACACACAGACACCTCTGCTGGGTGACAATTCAGAGTGAGATGTTACACCCTGGGCCAAAAAAAAATCTTTTCTAAAGAAATTGTATGATGTCAGAGAAGAAACCTTCATGTTTTGACAGTTGGGAGTTTCCACCTCATAATGCCTAATTCAACATTTAATTAACCTATAGCCAACCTGGCAGTTGGCAAACCTCACCCATGTACATGGAGTTCCCAGTCAGCTTTCAGTGTACAGAGGCTTTCATACTTAGTACATAACATGCCTCTAATATAATGAAAGACCAAGATAAAAATAAGAAGGTTTAAAGAAAGCTTTAACAGAGGTAATGCAGGGAACAGAAGAAAATGTTCAATAAGTTCTAATTAATATTTCCATAGAGATTTGCAAAGATATTGCATCCATAAAACAAGAAATGGATGCTATTTAAAAAGCCACTCAAAAAACAAAAACAGAACTCTTGAAAATTAAAAACATGGTTTCCAAAATTTAAAAAGATCAATAATAGGTTAGAAGAAAATCCAGACATTTCAAAGTCTGACTTATAGGACTTTATTCCAGAAAGAACAGAAAATATGCAAAGAGGAAATTATCAAAGAAACAATATAAGACTATTTTTCAAAGCTAAAGAATAAACTCTCCAGACTGAAAGGCTTCCCTCAATGCTTAGCAAGTTGATTTTAATTTTTTTTAAACTTAATATATATATATATATATATATATTTTAATTTGGCTGTGCCGGGTCTTAGCCGCGGCACACGGGATCCTCGTTGGGGCATGCAGGATCTTTAGTTGCGGCTTGCGAACTCTTAGTTGCAGCATGTGGGATCTAGTTCCCTGACCGGGGATTGAACCCCGGCCCCCTGCATTGGGAGCACAGACTCCCAGCCACTGGACCACCAGGGAAGTCCCAGCAAGTTGATTTTTAAAAGAGCTGTATACACTAAGGCATAAAATATACATGTTTTATTTTTATTAAAACTAAAATTTTATTTTTTAAATTAAGTAGACTATTCTGGGTGTAGAAAGTACACTTATGAAGAAATTATGTAAACCTTTAAAAAACTATTAAATTCTTAACCAACTCCCTGTATCTCAGAAACCAGAGATAGCATTTTCATTCATTTATTCATCCATCCATTTATTCAGCAAATGTATATATTGATTGCCTACTGTGTGAACTACCATGTGCTAGATTCCAGGGAGGACACAAAGATAAACTAGACCTTCCCTTAGGTGGCTTTCATTGGGGAGAAGTTTAAAGATATGTGAATAAAAATAATAATACAAAGTTTTAAAAAATATAAATGCTATAAGAAGATAAAAGCTAACATATTCTAGAAATTCAAAGATTACTTCAGGATGGAGGGCATCAGGGAGATCACCTTAGAGAAGGTTCAACCTCAAATCAGGCCTTCTAGAGATAGGGTAGGGGAAGGGTATTTATTAAAGAGATGGTCTGTGTGAGCAGAGTCTCAGAAATGGGAAAACATAGAATGTATATGGAAAAACAACAGGATACAAGTATGCACATGTAGTGGGTTTGTTTTTTACTATAAACACGTTTAACTATCATGAGAAAACCATCAGACAAATCTTGATTGTAGGACATGCTACAAGACAACAGACCTGAACTCTAAAATATGTCCATGCCATGAAAGACAGAAGAAAAAAAAGGAACAGAAGAAGAATGATCTAAATTAAGATATATTTAAGATACGTGATTGGATCCTTTGTTCAAAAAAATTGATTATTACTATAATTGGGGACATTTGATGATGATTATTCATATATTATTATATATATGAACTATATATTAGATGATATTATTTATCAATGCTAAATTTCTTTTTTTTTTAATTTTTAAAAATTTATTTTGGCTGCATTGGGTCTTCGTTGCTGTGTGCAGGCTTCCTCTAGTTGCAGCAAGTGGGGGCTACTCTTCTTTGCGGTGCGTGGGCTTCTCATTGCAGTGTCTTCTCTTGTTGTGGAGCACAGGCTCTAGGCGCACGGGCTTCAGTAGTTGCAGCACATGGGCTCAGTAGTTGCGGCATGCCAGCCCTAGAACACGCGGGCTTCAGTAGTTGTGGCGCTCGGGCTCAGTAGTTGTGGCACACAGGCTTAGTTGCTCTACGGCGTGTGGGATCTTCCCAGACCAGGGATCGAACCCATGTCCCCTGCATTGGAAGGCGGATTCTTAACCACTGCGTCACCAGGGAAGTCCAATGCTAAATTTCTTGAGTGCAGTGATGATATTGTAGTTATGTAAGAGGATGTCCTTGCTCTAAAGAGATATATGTTAAAGTACTTAGGGGTGATATCAGCAAGTTAATTTTAATTGGTTCAGTGTGCGCGCGCACACACACACACACACACACACACACACACACACATCAGAAATATGGCAAAGGTCAGCAATTGGTAGTTTATGTGAGGGGTTTTGGGTGTTCACTGTACTAAACTCTCCTGTAGGTTTGAAAATGTTCAAAATAACATGTAGAAAAAAAGAATATAATTGAAATAAGCTAATCAAACTAGGCTGCAGTCTGCAGTAATGTAGAGAATAATTCAGCTTACACATGTGGTAAGACCATATTTCCCAAGATGAATTTAGGGACTGTGCACTACCACGTGGGCTCTTCTCCATCCATCTCTGGACTTTCAATAAATTGAATTTTAAAAGAAAAGGTTTAACATTTATTTCATTTTAAACTTGATACAGTCTTTATGAGATCCACTATCCATACTGGGGTAATACTTTAATTTGTTTTGTCTATAATGAGGGTAATCATACATATATATGCCTTCACTCTGTTTCCCATTTGATCAATTATACGTTGTTTTCAGGATAGTCAACCAGATGAGGGGTTAAATTCTGGATGAATATTATATCCAAATGAAAATATGACTCTCTCTTCTGTAAAAGGGAGTAATTTCTTTCTCAATGTTAATTTTCCTGAAAAATTCTACAAATGTTTCAACATCCTGTCCTGCTGTCTTACAACATTTATGGATTCATTTGTCCTGGCCAAACCTGAGGGAAGGAAGCTGTTTGTTTTCTGTGAATCATTCCGAGATTATGCAAATAAAGGCAGGATTGTGAGAGAGTTACTGGCAAGCTCTGTGGTATCATAGGAAATTTGTTTTAAAATGCAGGAATGAAAGAAACATTTTTTTTAAACTTCTTACCTTGGAGATGGGAGGTAAAAAGCCCTTACTTAGAAACTCAACCATGTACTGACGAAATAAAGGTATAGAAACTCATCTCTTGGAAGGAAGTGGCAACTTATTCAATTAACTTTATTTTTTATAACTAAAGAAGAAAGAATGGGGAGGTCATTGTGTGACTTGCTTAGTTTATGCAGACTTGGAACATGCCTGTTTTTCCTATAATAACTTTTTGTTTGGTCTTTTTAAAAATGAACTTTTGGAAAATGGAAGTATAACATACATAGAGAAAAATGCAAAAATCATAAATGTACAGCTCAGTGAGTCACAAATTGAAAACATCCACGTATATACCAGTGAAACCAGGCTTAATTTTTAATTTTCCATTTTTGTTGCAAGTAAAAATTCTAGACCTCAAGCATTTCTACCCTCAGTTGTCAGAAATATACTCTGTTCTCGAACATGTAATGAGAACAACAGGTACTCATTATCCTAGTTGAGATTCTTTGGTGCTGTGAAAAATGATATTCCAATCCACGAAGCTTTTCCAAGTGCCGTTTTTTTCCCAGGACAGAACCAGAACTTTCATGCACATCACCAAATGTGGAGCATATGGGTAGACCACTGGATCTGAGTTCAGATCTAGCCTCTGGCACTTACTAAGTGCTGAGTGGTGACAAAACCAGGGATGTTGTGATAGCTTATTATATTACATATAATAAATGTGAAAACACATATCACAGAACCTGGCACATGATTGATGTGAATTTTCTTCCTCTCCTCTCACAAATTTTGTATGTTAGCTAACATTTAAAAATACCTGCAATTCTTACTTATCATGATAATCATTTCATGACATATGTAAGTCAAACCATTATGCTGCACACCTTAAACTTGTACAGTACTGTATGTCAGTTATGTATCAATAAAACTGGGGGGAAAAAATTACCTGCAACTCTTGGTTCTGGAGAACCTAGGGGCAGGACAGGAATAAAGACGCAGACGTGGAGAATGGACTTGAGGACACGGGGAGGGGGAAGGGTAAGCTGGGACGAAGTGAAAGAGTGACATTGACATATATACACTACCAAATGTAAAATAGATAGCTAGTGGGAAGCAGCCACATAGCACAGGGAGATCAGCTCAGTGCTTTGTGACCACCTACAGGGGTGGGATAGGGAGGGTGGGAGGGAGATGCAAGAGGGAGGGGATATGGGGATATACATATATGTATATGTATAGCTGATTCGCTTTGTTATAAAGCAGAAACTAACACACCATTTTAAAGCAATTAATTATACTCCAATAAAGATGTTAAGAAAAAAAAACCCTGCAACTCTTAGCCTTTTCCAGACAAGGAACAATTTGGTGATTACCATCAGAGTACTGTATTCCCTTGGCAGAATAAAGCACTGTGTGCTGAACCCCTTCTCCAGCACCCCAACGTTGTTATCCCCCTTCTCCCAAATAAGATTAAAATGAACAAGGATACAATACAATACAATTAAAATGAACAGAAGAACCGTCTGAGGGCTGTGTCTGGAACTTGGAAGGGGCATTCACTCATTTGCCTTGGTGAAGACAGGCATTTATATAAGGACAGATGACGCAGATATCTTTGGCCCCAGCTACATGTGAAGCTCTCAGTATCCTCTGTCTGCGCAGCCAGTGGCAAGGGCACCCCAAAGAACTGGGCCATGCAACCTGACCACCATGAACTGAACTGGTTCCTTTTCATGACAGTGATCCAAATCATAGGTTTGCATAGGTATGCAAATTCTTTTTAAAATTATTTTAAGGTCTCCATTCTTTACAGCCTCTCATTTCTCTTCTAACTCACAATAAACTTGTGATTATTCATTCAATATTTATTGGGTACACATGAAATGGCAAGCACTATTTGCTGTGAACAGAATAACAGATTCACCCTTTAAGAAGTAACTGAGGGTTGAACCATTTAAAAATATATATATTTAAAAAATACTCTACATTACAATCTTGCTATTTAAA